TACTACTAGTAAGGCACTTGTTACTAGTAGCGATGCACTTGTTTCTACTAGCTTCTTGTTACTACTAGTAAGGCACTTGTTACTAGTAGCGATGCACTTGTTTCTACTAGCATCTTGTTACTACTAGTAAGGCACTTGTTACTAGTAGCGATGCACTTGTTACTACTAGCTTCTTGTTACTACTAGTAAGGCACTTGTTGGTAATGAGAGGCTGAGAATGCTGACGGCCAATGGGAGTACAACCCTCGAAGTGTGGAAGACTTTGAGCGGCTTCTTCTCACGAAGGGCGACACTTCCGTTGTTTGGATCCGTGCTTTGGCTATGTTTGGCTTCATATTCGGTGGCTTTTAGATGCCCTTTAGAATCTGACGAAACTTGATGAAAAAACACATTTGAACAAAACAGACATCAAAAACGCTACTAGGGGCTCCTGGCCTTACTACTAGGAGCAAGGTTCGCTACTAGGGGCGAAGGGCATTGCTACTAGGAACAAGAAGCTATTAGCTTCTTGTTTCTAATAGCTTCTTGTTACTACTAGTAAGGCACTTGTTACTAGTAGCGTGGCACTTGTTACTACTAGTAATTCGCTTTGCATTTCCTTCGCTCTTTAGCTCGCTCCGCCGCTGGCGACAACCCGGAGCCGGAATCCGGGGAGCCCATCGGAAGCAAAGCGAAGCAACGTCGCGTCTGTGAGCAGCGAAGTCGCCAGTGGGGTGAAGGCCCACCGCTATTGGAAATAGAAGAAAAGACGAAGAAAAAGAACATATGAAGAAAGGACGTTTATAATCTAGTTTATCATTGGAGGCCATCCAAAGAAACGTTTAATAATGTGTCAGTACAGTCTCCACCATTCTGAGCCCTTCGCAGGAACGCACCAAAACCACCCGGGCTGCACCGCATTCGTGCATGTGGTAGCGCAATGCACCGCATCCACCAATCCAGCACCAATTCAAGACCAAACAGCCCTTAGGGAGAAGGGAGGTCCGAGAAGGGAGGTCCGAAACCATCCCCTGGGGGTCCTAGAGTAGCCCGCCCCCCAAAAAATAAATCTAGACATGTTGAGATATCCCGAAACGTGAGAGGCGCCTACTTAGTTATCATGCTTACTTAAGCTACTAGTAGCTTAGCTCCTTCACTCGCTACTAGTTACATTTGTTAGCCTACTACTTGCGGCCTACCCACCCCCCTTTTTTTAAAAGGACAGTTGCAAAAAAAATACTCTTTTCTTTTTTTGGGATTTCTCAGGTTATATGGCCTTTCACTTGAAGATGAGTGATTTGGAAAAGGCTCGGCAGGTGGCCGAACGTGCGGTGAAGCATGTGCCTCGGAGAAAGGGGAAAGTGTTTCAGCGGCCTCCAACCTAATAGCTTCAAAGACCTACTAATAGCTTCTTGTTCCTAGTAGTAAGGCACTTGTTACTAGAAGCGATGCACTTGTTCCTAATAGCTTTTTGTTCTTAGTGGTAAGGCCAGGAGCCCCTAGTAGCGCTTGTTGTTCCTGCCAGGTTGGCTTCTCCGAGAGCAAAGAGCGCTTCAACGTGTGGGTGGCCTATTTGAACTTGGAGTGCACCTTCGGCACGGAGAAGACCTCCGAGGCGGTGATCCAAAGGGCCACACGTCACAACGATGCCAAGCAGGTGGGGAAACGCCGAAGTGGTTTTAGGCGGCTCTTGGCATCGCTACTAGGAGCAAGGACGCTACTAGGAACAAAGGGGATCGCCACTAGGAGCAAGGACGCTAGTAGGTTGGAGGCCATTGCTCTCAGTTTCCCTAAAAAAGCCTATGAACCACATGAATAGTGCGAGTGTTAGCTGTCCTGCGTCCAGTAGGTAGTAGCTTAGTAGCTGCTACCAACCTCTTACTAGCAATGGTCTCCACCCTAGTAGCTTTGTCAAGTAGTGCTCAATCCTTCAATTCCGCAGTTCTTAGCGCCGGCGCTCCGCCTGCCTCACGACCTCGTGAGTCTTGGTGCGTTGTCAGGGTGAACCGATCTGGAATTGCGAGCTTTCTTTAACAAAGTTAGTGCAAGCATTCCTCCCTCCATATGTAGTAGTGTCTAAGTAGCTAGTAGCTTACTCCCTTACTTGATCAAGTAGGCACCTACAATCAAGTAAGGGCGGAACAAGAAGCTACTAATAACAAAGGGCATCGCTACTAGGAGCAAGGACGCTACTTAGAAAAGAAGTGTTTGAGCCCGCCCTTACTAGTAGTGTTCTTGCCCCTAGTAGCGATGCCCTTGGTTACTAGTAGCTTCTTGTTCCTAGTAGCGATGGCCTCCAACCTGAGAGCTCCCAATTTCATCGCTTGTGCGCAGTTGTCAAATCAAGACCGGATGATGCGATTGAGAGTTGTAGTGGCTCATGAGGAAGACAGGAAGGTAGAACGAATAAGAGGAAAGCAAGAATGACGAGAAAGGTCAGCCAAAGCGGGAAGCGCCGCGAAGCGCGCAGGTCTACATGCAGCTGGCCAGGATCCACGAGCGAAACAAGAAAACGCACTTGGCCGTGAAAGCCTACGAGACCTGCACGCGCAAGTTCCCCCAATCCAAAAAGGTTTGGATTGCTTTCCTCACGTTTCTCTACCAGAGCCTTGGCTGTCGAAAATATGCAGGCAAGAGCGAGCAGGCAAGTGCTTGCCTTTCGAACCAAAGAGCGATATATAGCGATGGCCTCCAACCTAAGAGCGTCCTTACTCCTAGTAGCGATGCCCTTTGTTCCTAGTAGCGTCCTTGCTCCTAGTAGTAAGGCCAGGAGCCCCTAGTAGCTTCTTGTTAC